TGGTGCCTTACCTACCACACAGCTCCATGGTGATCCTCACCCATGGTGCCTTACCTACCAGGCAGCTCCATGGTAATCTTCACCCCTGGTACCTTTACCTACCGGGCAGCTCCATGGTAATCCTCACCTGTGGTGCCCTACCTGGCGTTTTCACACTGACAAAGTACAGAAAGCAGTTTCAACAAATGATCTAGTTCAGTGATTCCCAACTGTGGCTCATGGCCCCTAGAAATTACTAGATATCTCCCAATTATAAATTGCTAAACTGGGTATTTTAATCTTGAGTCCTTGCATCACATTCAAGATGAAGGAATGTAGAGGTTGGGGAAATGGCTCACTTGATAGAGTTCTTGCCAAACATGAGTGAATGCTGAAGGCTGATCCCCAGTGCCCACGTTAAAAAGCCAGGCATGGTGCCATGCACTTGTGATCCCAGTGTTGGGGGGAAGGGTTGGAGATAAGAGAATCCCCGGACCTTGCTGACCAGTTACCCTCACCCAGTCAGCAAGCTCCAGGTCAGTGAAAGACCCAGTCTTCTGAAAACAAAATGGATGGCTCCTGAGGAACAGCACTCAAGTTTGATCCAGCCTACATATACACATGTGCACACACAGGTGCATGTGTGTACATGTGAACACAGGAGCATGCACACACATGGGAGTAATATGTCATATATACTAAATGGTATTTTTAACCTGATAACATTAACACTTCGAATACAGTTTGACAACATGGCTATTGAACAAAACAGCAGTAGTCTCCCCGGCCCCAGGCCTATGAATTCCCTAGCCATGGATTTTAACCATGTTTACAGTGCCAGGCATAGTCCTTCATATGCAGCAGGCTTTAGCACAGTGTTGCCACTCTGTGTGGTAGGATGGTGGTGTGGCACACGGGGTCGAGCGCTGGCTTAGAGCATCGCTATCCCAGCACTATGAAGGGGAGCCAGCTGGTAGAGTGTTGGTCTGTTTGGTTTCCCTGTGCCCTGCAACCAGTGGGTGGTGTCATCAGCAGTCATCGTACCACCCGGTTATGATAATCAACCAAGAGAAGTCGTGACACATGACACATAAACGCTCGAACATGGTAAAAATTAGTTGTTATTCACCCATACTTACAGTCAGTAATATGATATTGCCAAAATGATGCTCAAAAATTATATTTGTATTATTTAATTAAATATGAAAGAAACACAAAGTAAATAGACCAATAAATTAAGTCTTTCTCAAAATATGCAAGTAAATTATGTCACTGAGAAAAAAATACTTAATTGCCTGATGAGATGGCTCAGCAAATAAAGAACATTTACGATATGCTCAGTCACAGGAGTTCCACCCCCAGAACACACAGTGGAAGGCCCTCCACACAGGCTGTCCTCTGACCCACACACATATGCATGTCACACACACACACACACACACACACACACACACACAAATGTAAAAAAATAATTAATTTAGATGACAGCTGGATTTGTTTAGAAGTCATATAAGATGCTCAGAGAGCTCTGGACAATCAGTTACAAGCTGCTTAAGGGCATTGCTTCCCACCTTCCCTTTCCTTTGGTCTACATCCTAATACTGCTTTCTTAACAATAGAATGGTTTTATATTAAAAATTAAGAAACAGTAATTTTAAAATGGCTAAAATGTACGCTAAAACTGTTCTTCACATAAATTCTAAGGCAGTGCAGAAGACCTACAGAAAGATAAAACACGGATTTTTTTCTGCTAAATATC